ACAGGGGATCACACTCACACCTCCACAGGCCCAGGCATTGGGGATCATGCTCACCCCCGAACAGGCCCAGGCACAGGGGATCACTCTCACCCCTCCACAGGCCCAGGCACTAGGGATCACACACACCCCTGAGCAGGCCCAGGCATGGGGGACCACACTCACTCCTCCACAGGCCCAAGCACTGGGGATCCCTCTCACTCCCCAGCAGACCCAGGCACTGGGATTCACCCTCACTGATGAGCAGGCACAGACACAAGGGATAATTCTCACCCCTCAGCAGGCCCAAGAACTGGGGTTCACCCTCACTGATGAGCAGGCACAGGGGATCACTCTCACCCCTGAGCAGGTCCAGGCACTGGGGATGACTCTCATCTCCCAGCAGGCACAGGCACAGGCACAGGGGATCCCTCTCACACCTCAGCAGGCCCAGGCACTGGGGGTGACTCTCACCCACCAGCAGGCCCAGGCACAGGGGATCCCTCTCACACCTCAGCAGGCCCAGGCACTGGGGGTCACTCTCACCCTTGAACAGGCTCAAGCACAGGGGATCCCTCTCACCCCCCAGCAGGCCCAGGCACAGGGGATCACTATCACTTCTGAGCAGACCCAGACACTGGGGATCACACTCACACCTCCACAGGCCCAGGCATTGGGGATCACACTCACCCCCGAACAGGCCCAAGCACAGGGGATCACTCTCACTCCCCAGCAGGCCCAGGCACTGGGGATGACTCTCACCCCTGAGCAGGTCCAGGCACAGGGGATCACACTCACACCTCCACAGGCCCAGGCACTGGGAATCACATTCACACCTCCACAGGCCCAGGAATTGGGGATCATGCTCACCCACAAACAGGCCCAAGCACAGGGGATCACTATAACACCCCAGCAGGTCCAGGCACTGGGGATGACTCTCACCCCTGAGCAGGTCCAGGCACAGGGGATCACACTCACACCTCCACAGGCCCAGGCATTGGGGATCACTCTCACCCCCGAACAGGCCCAAGCACAGGGGATCACTCTCACTCCCCAGCAGGCCCAGGCACTGGGGATGACTCTCACCCCTGAGCAGGTCCAGGCACAGGGGATCACACTCACACCTCCACAGGCCCAGGCATTGGGGATCACACTCACACCTCCACAGGCCCAGGCACTGGGAATCACACTCACACCTCCACAGGCCCAGGCATTGGGGATCACGCTCACCCCCGAACAGGCCCAAGCACAGGGGATCACTCTCACTCCCCAGCAGGCCCAGGCACTGGGGATGACTCTCACCCCTGAGCAAGTCCAGGCACAGGGGATCACACTCACACCTCCACAGGCCCAGGCATTGGGGATCACGCTCACTCCCGAAAAGGCCCAAGCACAGGGGATCACTCCCATCCCCCAGCAAGCCCAGGTACTGGGGATGACTCTCAGCCCCCAGCAGGCCCAGGCACTGGGGGTCACTCTCACCCCTGAGCAGGCCCAATCCCAGGGGATCACTCTCACCCCTCAGCAAGCCCTGGCACTAGGGATTCCTCTCACACTCCAGCAGGCCCAGGCACAGGGGATCACTCTCACACCCCAGCTGGCTGAGGCACTAGGGATGGCTCTCACCCCTGAACAGGCCCAGGCACTAGGGATGACACACGACTTCCTGCAAGCCCAGGGACTAGGGGCCACACTCATTCCAGAGCAGGCCCAGGTACAAGGGATGACTCTCACCCCCCCGCAGGCCCAGGCACCGGGGATCACCCTCACTCCTGAACAGGCCCAGGCCCTGGGGATCACTCTCACCCCACAGCAAGCCCAGGCAGAGGGGATGACTTTCACTCCTCAACAGGCCCAGGCACTGGGGATCACTCTCACCCCTCAGCAAGCCCAGACACTGGGGATGACGCTTACCCCTGAGCAGGCCCAGGCACAGGAGATTACTCTTACCCTTCAACAGGCCCTGGCCCTGGGGATCACTTTTACACCTGAGCAGGCCCAGGAAGAGGAGATCACTCTCACTCCTCAGCAGGCCCAGGCACTGGGGATCACTCTCATCCCTGAGCAGGCCCAGGCACAGGAGATCCCTCTCACCCCTGAGCAGGCCCAGGCCCTGGGGCTCACTCTCACCCCTCAACAGATCCAGGCAAATGGCATCACTCTTACCCCTGACCAGTTCAAAGCACTGGCGGTCACCCTAACTCCTGAGAAATGCCAGAGCTTGGGTTTCACACTCACTCCTGGGAAACTTCAGGCATGGGGGTCTCCTTTCACTGTAGCACAGGCCTGGGAATCGGGGGTCTCTATTACTCCAGAAAGTCCCTGGTTGTCAGCTGTCCCTTGTACCCCTGAACAAACCCAAGGTTTAGGTGCCCCTCTCTCCTTAGAACAGGCTCAAGCATTAGGGGTTTCTTTCTCTCCAGAACACTTCCAGAAATCTGGGGTCCCTCTCACCTCAGATAAATTTTGTGCTATAGAATCTCCCCTTGAGCAAGTGCAAACTTTGGGAGCTCCCTTCATCCCAGGACAATCCCAACCCATGGGTATTACTCTCATGTCTGAGGAGGACCAACAATCAAGGGTACAGCCCTCACCACTTGGGCCCCAACCTCCTTTAGAACATACCCTGAAAGTTGGGATCATTCCTGTTACTGATAAACCCATTACACCAGGTGGTCCTCACATTTCTAAGCAGTTCCCCACATTGGCTCCTTCCGGTCTTAGATCTTTTCAAAGATTGAAGGCTTCTGTCCTCCCTGGGAAATCCTTTACATCAAGTCCTAGGCAGGCCCCAGCCTCTGCTCCTATTGTGGAGAAGTCCTCTGCATTTGAGGTCTCTCCTACTCCTTTGCAGGTATCAGGGTCCCCTCTTTCCCAAGCCCCTGGGAAATTGCTAGGAATGAGAATTCCTTCTGACCCTGAGAAGCTCCTGGTACCACAGACTTTTCCTTCCTCTAAACAGACCCTGGTTTCTGAAGGTCAAACTGTTCAGTTTGTAGCACCAGAGGTCCCTCTGGCCTCTGGGAAGCTTGCACCGGAGACCCTTTTTAGTTCTAGAAAGTTCTTAAGAGACTCTTGGACTCCTCAGCTACCTCTGATATCAGAGGCCCCGCTTGCCCCCAGGCAGCCCCTTATATCTGGAGTTCCACTCTCCTCCCCGCAGTTTTCTACTCTCTTGGCTCCTCTTTCCCCTAGGAAGCCCTTGGTTCCTGGGACTTCCTCCATCCTGGAACCTAGACCCTTAACACTTTCTGAGAAGCCCCAGGCATTCCGGCTCCCTGCCATCTATGAGCAATCTCTCTATCCACAAGTCCCTTCTACTCTTGAGCAGCATCAAACTTTCCCACTGGGGATCCCTCCCACCCCTGGGCATCCTCCAACACTATGGACCTCCCTAACCCCTGGAAAGCCCCAGAAAGATATGTCCTCTTCTATGGCTAAGGAAAGTAAGGAAAGATTGGCAATTATTTCTTCTCTGAAATCTAAATCAGTCCCTTTTACTGCTAAGAACTTCCAAATATCAGGGATCTCTGACACTTCTGAAGAATTCCAGACATGCCATGATCCTATTGCCACAGAACAATATAGAACATTTCAGTCCTATCTCACCGATTACAGGACACCAGTATCACACACCCCTTACGTTGGTGGGAGGGCCCTTCCCCCTCTCGTGAAGTCTCTTTTTACTAAACTGCCCAAAACGTCACAGATCTCATCATCTGAATGGGACCAGAAAACCCAGTTCCCCCCTATAGATAAGTCCTGGATACTGACTTCAGTTTCAGTTACCAAGAAACCTAAGATGATGGTGCCCCCTTCCTCTCCCCAAGAGCTCAAAGAGCAGAGGTATTTTGTTGATGTGGAAGCTCAGAGAAAGAACCTGGTACTCTTAAATCAGGCCACAAAATCTTCTGGACTCCCTTCACAGCTACACACAACAGCTAGGAATCTCATAATTGAAACACTTCATACAGACACAGTTCGGCTGGGATACCTATTCCGCAAGTACATTGCTTACAGGCTGATCCAGCGTGCAAGGTAGATGTAAATACTGAATGTCCAGTTTTCTGGTTTAGTCCTGATTTCAAATATCCTCCCTTCATTGTCCTATAAGTATATACATATCTGTCATATTAGATGTTCTAGAGTATTATAGGTCTGTGGGATGAAGCCTATTTAAGATACCAAAAGGAGATATACTTTTTTTGGAAATAAAAATGTCATGTAACATGATCTATTTCATCCATTTATATCTCTAGCAGAGATACTAAGATATATTTTGTGGATCATGGTTGATCTCCAAAATACCAACTTTAAAAGCTTGGTCCCAATTATTCTAAACTTCTAAGTATTCCAAATTTCTTTCATCTTCTTGGGTTCACCAGAAGTTGTATGATTCTTGAAACAGGAAATGGCAGGTTATATACAAGTTGTTGCCACGGCAACTTTGCTGCTGAAGTGACATGGAAGGTCCTGGTCCTGATTTTTTAAAAACTGCAGAAATAGGGAAAGTGAAAATTGTCTTGTTATCCTAATTACCAAATTATTGTTTTGGGGATATCTTTTACCTAAAATTATAAGATGCCAAACTAAATCTGTACTGGAAAAGGTTATTAATATTACGTATTATTATTATTTATATATAAATTATAGGAAAACATATCATTTATCCAATAAATCTTTGTTAAATGTGGCAAGTATTATATTAGGGGCTAGGGATACAGCAGTGAATAACAGGCAAATAATAACAGGCAAAGTACCCTGTTCTCATGAAATTCACATTTTTTGAGGACTGAATTGATTTGGGAACTAAGGATTAGAACAAGGTACAAAACCAAACTTCTTCAAGATATAATCAGAACATTTATTTCATTTATGTATTTATTCATTCATTCATTTTTCATGCTTTCAAAATTTTATTTAAATTCAAGTTAGGGGACGCCTGGGTGGCTCAGTTAGTTAAGCAGCTGCCTTCGGCTCAGGTCATGATCCCAGCGCCCTGGGATCGAGTCCCACATCGGGCTCCTTGCTCGGCAGGGAGCCTGCTTCTCTCTCTGCCTCTGCCTGCCATTCTGTCTGCCTGTGCTCGCTCTCTCTCCCTCTCTCTCTCTGACAAATAAATGAATAAAATCTAAAAAATAAATAAATAAATAAATAAATAAATTCAAGTTAGTTCACATATAGTGTAATATTAGTTTCAGGATTAGAATTTGGTCATTCATCAGTTGCATACAACACCCAGTGCTCATTACATCAAGTGCTCTCCTTAATGCCCATCAATTACTCCATCCTCCCACCCTCATCCCCACAGTTTGTTCCCTATATTTAAGCCTCTCTTATGGTTTGCCTCCCTCTCTGCATCTTATTTTTCCTTCCCTTCTCCTATGTTCATCTGTTTTGTTTCTTCGAATCCACATATGAATGAAATCATACGTTATTTGCCTTTCTCTGACTGACTTGTTTTTTTTTAAGATTTTATTTATTTATTTGACAGACAAGAGATCACAAGTAGGCAGAGAGGCAGGCAGAGAGAGAGAGAAAGGGAAGCAGGCTCCCTGCTGAGCAGAGAGCCTGATGCAGGCCTCGATCCCAGGACACTGAGACCATGACCCGAGCCGAAGGCAGAGGCTTAACCCACTGAGCCACCCAGGTGCCCTGACTTGTTTTGCTTAGCATAATACACTCTAGTTCCATCCACATAGTTGCAAACAGCAGGATTTCGTTATTTTTGATGGCTGAGTAATATTCCATCACACACACACACACACACACACACACACACACACACCCACCCCTTCTTTATCCATTCATCAGTTGAGGGACAATTGGGTTCTTGCCATAATTTGGCTATTGTGATAATGCTGCAATAAACATAGTGGATGTGCCCCTTTGAATTACTATTGTTTTATCCTTTGGGTAAGCGCCTACTAGTGCAATTGCTGGGTGGTAGGGTTGTTCTATTTTTAACTTTTTGAGGAACTTCTACACTGTTTTCCAGTGTGGCTGCACCAGTTTGCATTCCCACCAATAGTGCGAGAAGATTCCCCTTTCTCCACATCCTTGCCAACATCTATTGTCTCCTGAATTGATAAATTTTACCCATTTGGGCAGGCGTGAGGTGATATCTCATTGTAGTTTTGATTTGTATTTCCCTGCTGATGAGTGATGTTGAGCATCTTGTCATGTGTCTGTTAGCTATTTGGCTATCTTCTTTGGAAAAATGTCTGTTCATATCTTCAGCCCATTTTTTTTAAAGATTTTATTTATTTATTTATTTATTTGACAGACAGAGATCACAAGTAGGCAGAGAGGCAGGCAGAGAGGGAGAGAGGAGGAAAGCAGGCTCACCGCTAAGCAGAGAGCCCGACGTGGGGCTTGATTCCAGGACCCTGAAGATTATGACCTGAGCTGAAGGCAGAGGTTTTAACCCACTGAGCCACCCAGGCACCCCTTCAGCCCATTTTTTAATGGGATTATTTATTCTGGTTTTTTTTTTTTTTAAGTGGATTGCATGCTCAATGTGGGGCTTGAACTCACAGTCCTGAGATTGAGAGTCACATGTTCTACCAATGAGCCAGTTAGGCACCCCAGGTTCACTATTTTCAAAAATATTTTGTACCTTATTTAGAAAGACCCACTCCACTCTGAGAAATATAAAAAATTCTTTCTAGGTTTCTTCTGAAACTTTTATAGTTGGTTATTAGCTTTTTTTTTTTCTTTTACATTTAAGTCTCTGATTCACAACTTTCTGTTGAGAGATATGAATGTGACTTTTTTCTACATGGCTACCCAGTTGCTCCAATACTACTAACAAAATAATCTACCTTTTCCCCTATAGATTTGAATGTACCTTCATCATAGATTCTTGTATCATTTAGGTCTATATAGAGACTTTTCATTATTTTTTGTTGGTTGCATATAGATGAGTCACTTCTATTTTTTTATTATTCATTGTAGTTTTATTATGATGCTGAATCTTTGTGATAGTCATTAGTGCTGTTTGCCAGGACTCTTCAATGAAATGTAAGCAGAATTGGTATATGTCATTTCTGTGCTGAGCTTGTCATTATTAGTTTGAGACCCTCCCGAGTCTCCTTTTCCTCTGACATAACCCACTTTGCTCAAGGTGATGGCTCTTCAGATAGCCTGTGTCCTTGAGAGTATACAATGAAGCTCGCTCCCTGATGAACCATGATGGATTTGTAGTACGAGCAACAAGTAAAATTTTGTTTTTAGCCACTGAGATTTACATTCTTCTTTCGGAGAAACTTGCACTTTCACTGGAATCCGCCTTTTCAATAAGCACCACCACCACCCCATCACCTCTGCCCAAATGATTCATTCAGTCCAGGTGATCACGGACCACATTTTGAGAAATACTGGTATTGTAGGAATAGAGATGATTTGGGTTTGCTTCCCAAATCTGATATTTATTAATTATATAACTTCAGAAAATTACTTAACTTTGCTCAGATTCCTTTTCCTCTCCTGTAGAACAGAGATGGCAAAACACTATCTGTTCAGAAGGCTCAAATGTGGTGGTACATGTTATTGTCAAGAGAGAGAGTATATTTTTATCACTGTTCTTCAAGATCCTATGCAACATCTTCCTATGAGGCCTTCTTTATTTCTCTTGTATGAATTGTGCTCTCTTTTTTTGCTCCAACAGCATGTTTATATGTCTATTTAGCATTTGTTTCATTGTCTTTGACACAGTTAACTTATTAGTCTCCCATTCTGGCTTGTAAGTGCTTTGAAGGCAAGGACAATGACTTTTTCACAACTGTATTAACTACCTTCTATATATCTAATACATATCAATACCAAAATTTTAATATTAAAACAACATATTAAATATGTTTGTATATTAATATATTAAAATATAAAACTATTAAAATAATATTAAAATAATAAGCAACACTATTATAACACTAAAAAACTCAAGTTAATGAAAACTTGACAATCATAGATTTTTTAAAATAAAGTCATATAAGAAACTAGATTAAGGTCTCATTAAGCAAGTCTCCCACCCCTATCACATCCCACTCTACTTACTAAGGATGAGAACTGAAAATAACTAGGCCCAGGTTAGCTGAGTTAGGGTCAGTCGTTATATCAATCTCATTCTTGTTAAATTTTTTTCAAGAAACAACATAATCAGACGATTACAAGCCCTCCAAAACACTGGGAAAGGTTATGAGACCCAGAACCTCTTCATAATGCTAAACAGAATTGATGACTACCAGAAAAAGATGATGCAGGTCTGGACCAACAAACAGAAGTCTTTAGAGCAGAAACGGAATCAGTGCCTGAGGAAAATGATGTTCTTATTTAGCCAGGTAACTTGTTTTATATTTCCCCTCCCTAGTGTGTTGTAAGAAAAATGAAAAGTGGTAAGCTTGGAAAAACAACATTTACCTGGAGATACCATGTATATTAGTCTCCTTGGGCTGCTGTAACAAATTGCCACAAACCTGATGGCTTAAGACAACACAAATATATTCCTCGGGCTGCTGTAACAAATTGCCACAAACCTGATGGCTTAAGACAACACAAATATATTCCCTTGCAGTTCTGGAGGCCAGTTCATGAAATCAAGGTGTTGGCAGGGTTTGTTCCTTTTGGACACTCTGAAGGAGATATTTGTTCCATGCCTCTCTCCTGAACTCTGGTAGCTGCTGACAATCCTTGGCTTTCCTTGGCTTATAGCTGCATAACTTCGACCTTTGCCTCTGACCTTCCCCTGGCCTTCTTCCCAGTGTGTCTTATGTCTTCTCTTCTGTCTCTCTTAAAGCCACGTGTCATTGGATATAGGACCCACCTGGTCAATCCAGGGTAATCTCATCTTGACATCCTTAAATTATATCTGTAAAGACCCTTTTGCCAAATAAGGTCACATTCATAGATTCTGGGAAACATTATCTTTTGAGGAGTTCACCATTCAAGCCAGTATACCATGACCCCAGTAAAAACTCCTAACTTGACATTAGGGATACTGGCTGGACTCTCTAGATGGGAAAAGATTAGAATGGGGGAGATGTCCATAAATGCTCAACTCCTTCTAGTCAACCTGCATCTACCAGCCTCTAGATATGAAACCTCTTAAAGTCACCACTCTCCAACTGATTCATGATGGTTACTTCCCTCCTCAAAACTATCAGAAAGTGGGGTACCTGGCTGGCTCAGTCAGTGGAGGATGCAACTCTTGATCTCAGGGTGTGGTTCAAGCCCTACATTGGGTGTGGAGATTACTAAGCAATAAAATCTTTTTTAAAAAAACCTATCAGAAAGCAAAATTTAATAGAATGAGTATACAATAAAGGAGGTAAGAGTTTATTTAACTTGCTTATATAGCACCAGGCCCAGAAGATCCTGTTAAACTCTGATACCCACTCATTATGTCCCAAAGCTCCTCTGAGATAATCATTAGTATGCTTTTGAGAGTGATAGATATATCACTTTTTGGAAGATATAACTTCCAAAAAGTTATAAAGCTGAGATTAGAGTTCTTTGCTCTGGGATTACATGCTCCCACTACATGCTCCAGCATGGAGTTTTAGAACATTCTTGGTATTCTAGGAGTATTTTATATCTATATATTCTTTGCTTTCACTAAATTAATGTATAAAATTACTTGATGCTTTAGAAGGTACAAAGACATTTCTTACCATAGTTGGTCCAAATCAGACATATTCTGAATTTTCTAGAACAGTGATATTTCAAATATTAAAGCTCTTTGACCAAAAAAAAAAAAAAAAGGATACTTTTGAGGTTTTGGTTTGGAAAATATGGTCAATGTAGGTGGAATAAAGCAAGCTGAGTTGGCAGTGTCATGAACTATCTAACAGGAATCACGTATCTAGGACATTTCAGGGGATGAATAAGGGTCTGGGATCAGGGGATCCACGATCTAGATGATGAAGTGGTTATCAAGGCATAAGATGGGAGAGAAAAAAGCAAAAGGGAGAAGAGGGTAGAAATGAACAAATACCTTACACTCAAGAGGTTGGTTCTCCTACCAGATTGTGTGGGTTCAAATCAGCTTTGCCACATGTTAGCTAAGAGACCTTGGGCAAGGTATAAATTTTCTGAGCTTCAGATCTCAAAGGTAAGATGAGGATAATAACATTACTCACTTCATAAGATTGTTGGAAATACCAAATGAATTAATATATAAAAAGCATGTTACATTCAGCAAGTATTCAGTAAGTGTTAGCTATCATTAGATTTGCCTAGTGCTTCACAATTTATGATGTGTATTCATATATTTTATCTTACACAACACCCACAACAACCCTGTGTTATTATCCTTGTTTTAGAAATGAGGAGAAAGGTGCAGATAAAATTAGCAACTAACCCAAAGTCACACAGCTAGGAAATGAGAGGACTAGGACTACAGGTTATACAGGATTGAGGGGTTTTTCTGTTTGTTCGTTTTGTTTTTTTAAAGATTTATTTATCTATTTGAGAGAGAATGTGAGCAAGCAGGAGAGTGTGGGGGAGAGAGGTAAAAGGAAGAGGGCATCTTAAGACTTCATGCTGAGTGCAGAGCCCTACTTGGGGCTCGATCCCACGACCCTGAGATCATGACCTGAGCCCAAACCAAGAGTCAGATGGTTAACCTACTGTGCCATTGAGGCTCCTCAGACAAAGGTTTGTTTGTTTGTTTGTTTGTTTAAGATTTTATTTATTTGACAGACAGAGATCACAAGTAGGCAAAGAGGCAGGCAGAGAGGGAAGGGGAAGCGGGCTCCCTGCCAAGCAGAGAGCCCGATGTGGGGCTCGATCCCAGGACCCTGGGATGACCTGAGCTGAAGGCAGAGGCTTTAACCCACTGAGCCACCCAGGCGCCCAGGACAAAGGTTTTTATATAACATAGTGCCACCTCTGAAATTGTGTGTTGGAAGTGGAGGTGTGATTGGAGGAAGAGAGAAAGAGGATGGAGAAAAAGGATTTGCAAGTCCATGGAAAAGAAAGAGTCACAGTTTAGCTAGGGCCTGCTCAGAACTTCTTAAAGACTCTGACTCTTTTTTACCTTTACCGATTTATTTGTTTTTAGCTTCAAGAGATGTATAAATTGAATCTTAGTTGGCCCATACCTTTGATCACTGACAAAAAGGAGATACCTGCCTCTGCCAAATTTGTTCAGCAGCCATTCCTAGAGCTGCTAATAGAAGAAGATAGAAAGTCTGACACATTCAAGAAATTACGGTATGTGCTTGAAAAAGACTGACATTAAACCGTATTTGGATGATATGTGGGACCTAATACTTTTTTTTTTTCCTGCCCAAAAGCTTCTCTTTCCCCACAATTATGATATGGTGCAGTAGAAAGTCTAAGGTAGTATTGACTTTCTTAGCCAATTTAATAAGAAGATTATTTACACATATTTCTACTTAAATATTTAACATCTAATTTTGAGTTCCTATTTATTTATTTATTTATTTTAGTTCCTTTTTTAAAAATATGATGCTGGTCTGCTCCTTGTCTGTTCCTTTCCAAGAATGATTAAGTCCAGTTTTCCCTTTAGTGGCCCTCCTTTATAACAATCCCAAGACAGGGGCTCTCTTGTTCCCACAGGTGACATGAAAATTATGGTCCCGGAGGGATATAAGCTGTGACATCCCTTCTTTATAATGTGTTTTGGATGTCTCATCTCACATGCACGGGCTTACCCCAAAGATCCAGCTAGGTGTCTATTTTTTCCATGTCATTAACTATGAATGCTAAAGACTTTAAATAAATGGTTGGACCAGGCAGAGCTTATTGAATGAAGTGTTAGAATACTTTGTCTATACTTTTGAACTTATATCTAACTGAATCATAACTTAGTCTCAATAGATTTTTCCAGATGAAAGCTTCATTTCAGTAATCATATGAGGACATACATTTATAGATTTGTGGAACATTTGTTATTTGAATTCTGTTTGAATTTGAATTGTTTTACTTTTGCTCAGCTAATAAATTAGTTCAACTTCAAAAAATTAAATAGATTAAATAAATTTAAAAATAAAGCTGGTCTTATAAAAAAATGAAACTGATTTTCCTTACCATGAAACAAATTAGTTTAACAGAATAAAGGAACTTAGAAACATTACTTTTTTCCTTTTTTTTTTATTAAAAAAAAAGAAGGTAGAAGCTTTGGTAAGGAATGGAAAAGAACATTGCTGGGGGAAAAAAAATCTGGATATGGTTTATATACTCCACGAAACTAAGAAGATAGTTTTAAAATAGATTACTAGGTGAAGTCATTACTTCATGACTTCAGTGAAAATGCACTTTCAGGGAAGAAAAAAAAAGCTCTTTCAGCAAATTCTGCTATTTTAATCCATTGCTCAGTCAAAGTGGACATAGCTAATGTTCTTTAGTGCCAGACAGGACATTATAGGATAAGACGGTGGGGAAGAGAAAAGGGGAAAATAAGATTCATACATTTTAATTGGATATAGAGTTCAGGAGAGTTTGGCGCTTTCAATTAGTGTCTCTGATTCTCTAGACAAGAAGACCAAATGAGAGCTATCTGGAACGCTGATCTGTCAACTTCAAGCTACCCAATAACAGAGAAGACATCAATACATTCGCTCTGGGCCCAGCTGGGTGGGTACCCAGATATTCCTATGCTACTCCAGTTAGATGTTCAGTCTACCTTCAGAAAATCTCTCGCATCCGTTAAATCACAGTAAGTTAAGGAATGGGAGCACTTTGGTAATTGGGCCTTTGGTCATATACCTTCTGTTTCCCTAACTTGACCTTATCTTCTAGCACCAGGGAGTGACCAAAAGCTGGTGCTTGTTGTAAAGTTAGACATTACCTTTTCCAGAATGCAGTATAAGTAGAGATATACAGTATGTAACCTTTTGAATCTGGCTTTTTTCACTTAGTGTAACTCCTATGAGACTCATCCACATTATATGTATCACTAATTCATTCCTTTTTATTTACGGACTGGTATTATTCCCTTGTATCGCTGTATCACATATTTTTATCCATTTACCAAGTGAAAGACATTTGAGTTGTTTTCAGATTTGGGCAATTATAAATTAAACTGCTATAAAATTCATAAACAGGTTTTTAAAAAAAGATTTTATTTATTTGAGAGAGAGAGAGCAAGTGATGGAGAGAGCAAAAGCAAGGGGAACAGCAGGCACAGGGAGAGGGAGAAGCCCAATGTGAAGCTCAGTCCCAGGACCCTGAGATCATGACCTGAACTGAAGGCAGATGCTTAACCAACTGAGCCACCCAAGCACCCTATAAACAGGTTTTGGGTTGAAGGTAAGTTTTCATTTCTCTTAGGTAAATGCCCAGGAGTGAGACTGATGGGTTAGATAAGTGTTATGTTTAACTTTTATAAGAAATTTCCAAGTTATTTTCCAAAGTGACATTTTATCTCTACATTTACTCAGCAGGCCTCTGGATGAAAACTGAGGTTGTTCTGTGACATTTCTGGTAACATCTCAGTAATATGTTCATCTGGTTGGTAAAATGTCCAGAATTATATATAAGTAAATCTTTGTTTTGTTTTAAAGTTGAGGCTTCTCTCTTCCAGCTAAGACTATTACAACTTACAGTTAGAGAAGGAGAATATTAACAGCTGCTTTTTTCTGGCCTACTGCTTCTCTCCCTACTTTTCTAGCTTGCCACTAGGGGACCCTTTAGAGATTAGAGCTCTAGAGAAGAGAGAGAGGAAATGGGAAGTTGTGATTGACTATTACTGTTGTGTTTTCTAACATCAGTGTTTCCTAGATCTGGGAGATTTCTAAAGCTGACTCTTTCGTAAGGTACTTTGGTCAGTTCCTTGGAGATTACCATCACTGAAAATCTCATCTGCAGATTTCTTGATCTTGTCAAATATATTTCAGTTCTGGGGCATCTGGGTGGTTCAGTCCGTTAACGCATCCGACTCCTGATTTCAGCTCAGGTCATGATCTCAGAGTTGTGAGATCGAGCCCCATGTCGGGCTCTATGCTCAGTTCAGAGTCTGCTTAACATTCTTTCTCCCTTCCCTCTGCTCCACCCCCAGCTGCACACTCTCTCTCAAATATATATATTTCTGTTCTAACTGGTTGTTGACATTTGTGATACCTCCAGCTTTTCTATACTCAGATGTGTTTGCATATTTATGCAGCCCTTCTGGACAGAATCCATGACAACTCTTTGCCATCTTTCTTGGGTAGGTGTATATATATATGACCCATGTCTAGTCTATTGGAAAAAGTGGAGCTTACTTTGTCCAGGTAAACTCTGAAGTCTTATCCCAATGCAGCAGCAGCTTCTTCTTTGCTTCTACTATTAGTGCATCTAGCCAATCAATCATAGCCTCAGCCTTTTTTCAGAGATTGAACCAGGCCCCATTCTATGGGCCTCCAAAATGTGGGGGCCTGTGGTAAGTTCTTAGAGTGGACAAAGGTTAGGAGTGCTCTCCAAATCCTCTTCTCCTTGACCATTTCATACTGAGAGTGAGTTAGTAAGAGTCAATTACTTTGTAGATCCTGGTTTAGCATTCCTCTATGAAATCTCGTATCTATTGTTAGGCTTTCCAGATTTAGCAAATAAAAATATAGGACATCTAGGTAAATCTGAATTGCAAATAAACAAAAATGATTTAGGGGCACCTGAGTGGCTCAGTTGGTTAAGTGTCTAACTTCAGCTCCGGTCATGATTTCAGGGTCCTGGGATTAAGCCCCGTGCTAGGGTCTCCACTTGGCAGAGTCTGCTTGTCCCTCTGTCCTTCCCCCAACTTATGCACGTGCACGCTCTCTCTCAAAATTTTTTTTTAAAAAAACACAAGTGATTTAGGATAAGTATGGTCCATGCAACTTTATACTTACACTAAAAAATTATTTTTGTTTATCTAATGTTTAAATCTAACCAGGCATCCTGTATTTAATTTGGCAACCTGTCCATTGCGCTTTGTCAAAACTTCTGTTTTCATGTGCTACTATATATAAAATATGTATTAGGAGTTTCTAACTTGTATAGATAGATGCCTGAAAACTTTTAGAGTAGCAGATGTTTACAACAGTAAAAAAAATTAAGACATTATAGGAAAGAGAACTGAAGTCTTGGATTTTCTTTATTTTTTTTCACTAAAACCAGAAACAAATCATACAGTTTTAAGACATCTAAAATTAGTAATAATGGGCAATATATGATCAATTACTATTTGCCATCCTCCCCTTTTTTTCTCACTAGAATTTCTTCAAGTTCTTCCTCCCTCAAAAAAGATTATATTTGTTTCACTTTGTGGAAGTTAATGTACAAACCAAGAGACTTTCTTTCCCTCTGGGTTTGGTTATTTCTACTATTCTTTAGATCTCAGTTTAAACAATTGTTCTTTCTGAGCTGTCTTTTCTACCTCCTCCTATGTGTTCCCACAGCACATTGTAATTAACAGTATCCTAGCATTTACCATTCCATATTTTGATTGCTGCATTACTTACTTCCCCTGATATTAGACAATATGTTTTGGAGACATGAGTTGTGTTAAACTGACTCTACTTTTGCTATGCCTGCTTTCCTTACAAAAATATTTACTGACTACTTACTATGTATCAGTTACTATAACTAGTTACTGAGATACAATTGTGGGAAGGATTCAAGAGATCATAAATGGCAGGCAGAAGGAAAAAAATATGTGTAAAGATCCAGGGCCAATAGCATATTGCTTCATTTGCTTTATCTCCTAAAATAAACATTAAAAACAAAACTAAAATAAATAATACCTCCCCCTACTGCTCAGTTCCCCTTCTCCCTATTTCCAACAGAGGTGAATGGAACTAAAATTTCTCTTCCTGTCTGGATGGGATGCTTGGAGCTACTACAATCTTTAGTAATCCTAAGGTGATAACCACAGGATAAGACAATACACCAGGAATACAGAGAAGGAAAATAAATAAAACCCTGTCCTTGATGACATCTAGTTACTAGAACAACCCTGAGTACACCTGCCTCTGGGATTTCGTTAAGTGAGCAATAAATGGCCTTACAACCATTCTTAGTCAGGGATTCTGTTTCCTATAGTCACGTGAGTTTGAAAAGAATGTGTAACCTGCTATTTTTTTTAAAGATTTTTTATTTATTCACTTGGGAGAGAGAGAGACAGAAAGAGAGAGGGAGAGTAGGAGCAGGGAAGGGGCAGAGGGAGAGGAAGAAGTAAAAGTAGACTCCCTGCTAAGCAGGGATCCTGATTTGGGACTCGATCCAGGACTTGATCTGGGACTGCAGCATCATGACCTGACTGAAGGCAGACGCTTAACCGACTGAGCCACCCAGGTGCCCCATAACCTGCTACTGTTGGATAAAATAGTCCAGAGATGTCATTTATACCCAGTTGACTGATGGTGCTGTTGATTCAACCATAGCCTTAACAGTTTTCTGCCTGCTGTATCTGTCCACTTCTGATAGAGGACTGTTATAGTCTCCTACTACAACAGAGGATTCACCTGTTTCTCCTTGCAGTTCTACCAGTTTTTGCCTCCTGTAGTTTGATGCTCTACTGTTAGACAAAACATTAATGATTATTATGTCATCTTAGAGTATTGACACCTTTATTATTAGATGCCCTTCTTTATCCCTGATAACTTTCCCTGCTCTGAAGTCTACTCTGTCTGAAATTAATATAACTACTACTTTCTTTTGATTAGTGTTATCATGGTATTTTTTTCTACCCATTTAATCTATGTGTCTTTATATTTATTTATTTTTAAGATTTTATTTATTTATGAGAGAGAGAGAGAGAAAGCACATGAGTGGAGGGTGGGGCAGAGGAGAGAATCTTTAAGCAGACTCTCTGCTGAATGTTGAGCCCACTTTGGGGCTCCATCCCACAACTCACAAGACCATGACCTAAGCCAAAACCGAAAGTCAGATGCTCAACCGAATGAGCCACCCAGGCACCCCTTTTTATATTTAAAGTCAGTTTCCTGTAGACAACATATATTTGGGTCTTGTTTTTGGATCCACTCTGATAATCATTATCTTTTAATTAGTGTATTTAGATCACAAACATTTAAGGTGATTATTGATATATTTGGGTTAATATCTACCATATTTGTTACTGTTTTCTGTTTACTGCCCTTGTTCTTTTATCTTTCACACTTTTTCTGCATTTTGTAGTTTTGAGATTTTATAATTCCATTTTCTCTCCTTTCTTCATTTATACTTCTTTCATTATTTTTTAAAGTTGATGCCCTAGAGTTTGCACTATATATTTACAACAAACCCATTTTCAAATAACACTACACTGCTTCATGGATAGTGCAAGTACCTTATAATAGCAAAATAGTCCTAATACTGCCCCCACTCCATCCCTTGTATCATTTCTTCATCCATTTAACCTGTACATAAGCATGCATACATCATTGGATACATTGTTGCTATTATTATTATTTTGAACAACTATTATGTTAGACCAGTTAAGAACAAGAAAAATAAAATTTACCTTTATTTATTCCTTCCAGTGCTCTTCCTATCTTCATATAGAGCCAAATTTCTGATTCACATTATGTCCCTTCTCTCTGAAGAACGTCTTTTAACACTTCGTGTGAAGCAGATTTACTGGCTATAAATTCCCTCAATTTTTATTTGTCTGAAAACGTCTGTATCTCTCCTTCATTTAAAAATTTTGCAGGGCACAGAATTCTGAGTTGGTAGTTTTTCTTTCAACACTTTAAATATGCTCCTCTCTCTTGCTTATGTTCTTTCTGAGAAACTGGATGTAATTCCTCTCTTTGCTCCTCTATAGGTAAGGTGTTTTTTTCCCTCTGATTCCTTTCAAGACTCTTTACCTTGAATATGGTATGTTTAAGTGTGGTTTTTTGGGGGGCATTTATCCTGCTTGGTGTTATATGAGTGTCTAGTTCTGTGGTTTGGTGTCTGACATTCATTTGAAGAAATTTTCCATCAGTATTGCTTCAAATATGTCCCTTTTGGGCACCTGGGTAGCTCAATTGGTTAAGTGTCTGCCTTCGGCTCAGGTCACGATCCCAGGGTCCTGGAATCGAGTTCTGCATTGGGCTCCTAGCTCATCGGGGAGTCTGCTTTTCTCTCTGCCTGCTGCTCCCCCTGCTTGTGCTCTCTCTCTCTCGACAAATACATAAAATCCTAAAGAAAGTAATAAATAAAACAAATATGTCCTTTTCTTTCTTCTTCTGGTATTCCCATTACACATATGTTACACCTTTTGCAGTTGTCCTATAAATGTTGGATATCTGTTTTCTTCAGTTTTTTTTTTTCCTTTGCTTTTCAGTTTTGGAAGTTTCTATTACCATATCCTCAAACTCAGAAATTCTTTTCTCAGCCATACCCAGTCTACTAATGAGGCCATCAAAGGCATTCTTCATTTTTTAGTGTTTTTGATCTCTATTATTTCTTTTTGCTTGCTTTTTAGAATATCCATCTCTCTGCTTACATTATCTATCTGTTCCTATGTATTTTTTCCATCAAAGTTCTAAGCCTATTAATCATAGTCATTTTAAATTTCCAGTATGATAATTCCAACATCCCTACAATATCTGACTCTGGTCCAAAGCTTATGCAGTCTCCTCAAACTATGTTTTCTGCCTTTTAGTATGCTGGTAACTTTTGTTAAAATCCAGACATGACGTATAGGTGAAAGGAACTCTGGAAAATAAGCCTTTAATGGTGTGGTGTAAGGTACAGGAGAAGGGGAAACACTGTATAGTCCTATGATTAGGTCTCAGTTCTTTGAAGAGCATATGCATCTGGTCTGTGAACTTCACCAGTGCTTCTCAATATCCCTTATTCCCACCTTTGGTGGCACAGGATGGCTAGAGGGAGCTGGAATTCGGTATTTCTCTTTTCTTACATAGAAGGCTAGAGTTAGGTATTTACCTCCCTCCAAATAAGTTAGGCCCTAACAAAACCCTATAGGTTAGGCTTTGGTAAAATAGTTTCTCTTGAGAGCAGAATTTAAGAAGAATGGTATGCTTCGGTACTTTTCAAAATGGTTAATTTTCCCCCTTCTCCTGAGAGAAACATAAGGGAATTTTTCTCCACTCTTCACTGTGAGGACCTGGTAGATTCTAGAGATCTCTTTGACTGGGACCTCTGGAATCTGATACTCTCTCGTCCATACTGAGCCTCCTGCAATTCATCAATTAAAGTGTAAGTTTTCAGGGCTCGTGGGTGGCTCAGTTGGTTCGGCTCAGGTCATGACCCAAGAGTCCTGGGATTGAGCCCCCTACTAGGCTCCCTGCTCAGTGGGGGACCTCCTGCTCCCTCTCTCCCCTGGTTGTCCTCTCTCTCAAATAAATAAATAAAATCTTAAAAGGAAAAAAGTGTAAGTTTTCTACCAGGCACTCATTCCTGCAGAAGTGTCTGCTCATGGATTTTTACTCCAGTAAGTTGTGATTCTCTGTATTTCCTGTCTGTCTTTCCACTTTGGGGGCATTAGTTTGTCCTATGGCCTCACTTCTCTGAAGGATCCAAGAAGAGTTGCTAGTTTTGAGTTTGTTCAACTTTTTACATGTTGTTAGGATGGAGCAGCAACTTCTTGCATATATTTTTCAAAAGATTTCTGTGCACTTGCTTTTTGGTTACAAAAAATGTGCTCCTACTGAACATGTTTTTTAACCTGCTTAAGGGGTTCACTTGACGGTATATCTTTAAATTTTTTCTATGGTACTATAAACTTACATCATCATTCTTATTGATTGCTTGATATTCATTGTATAGTTCTATCACAATTTATTGAACTGTCCTACTGACAGAAGTTTTATATTTTTCAACATTACAAACAATGCTGCAGCAAATATCCTTACATAAGTTTATATACTTATATGGGGATTCCCCCATGAAAATTCCACTAAAATAATATTTGTTTTTTTCCAATTACAAAAGTAAGGCACATTCATCATAGAAAATTTGAAAAATACAGAGAAGTCCATGCCCAGAAATAACCATTGTCAATATTTGGTCATGCTCTAACGTATAAGAGGACTGGTTAACAAATAATAAGCTATTGTCAAGCTCTGCTCTTCCTGGGAAACACTCTCTCCTGTTAATGTGACTTTTATAAATTGGGATCACGTATCAATTTTACTAGTTTAACTTTGTGAGTTCTGGAAGCACTCTTATTTTCCCTATGAATCACCTATATTACTACAAATGTATTTAAGTTCAATTTATAATAAGATTAATTTTCTTGTCTTGTTTCCAGGTTTAAGAAGATTCCCAAGTGACTGTAAAATTAAACACAAGCAAGTAAATTTCAGTGCTGCAGTAAAATGGTGCTTTGCTCTTTCATGTATATGCATTGATTTGCCTACTCTTTTTTTTTTTTAAGATTTTATTTATTTATTTGAGAGAGAAAGAGAGAGCAGGTGCAGGAAGAGAGTCAGAAGAGGAAGACTCGCCGCTGAACAGGGAGTCTGATGCAGGGCTCAATCCCAAGACCCCAAGACCATCACCCCAACTGAAGTCAGAAGCCAGAGGCTTGACCAACTGAGTCACCCAGGCACTTCCACTGCTTTGCCTATTTTGTGCTCTTACATTCGCCTATTGTTCTTTAGGTTAAACATCTTCATTCCTAAACTATTAATATGACCACTCAAGAAAGAAAATCCTTTGCTCTAGATTACTAGAAACACAAAACTTCAACAAACACTGTGGTAGGCTCTCATTAAAAGGACATTATATGGTCACTGACGTGATGGCAAAGTGGCACAGTCTACCTCCCAGAACCTAAACCCAAAGATGCCTCAGAAGTAAGAAATGAATGGACATTAAAAAAAAAAAAAAAAAGAAAGAAAGAAAGAAAGGAAAACCAGCAGAAACCCCTGGAGGGTCAGAAGGTGTCTGTGATTTGGTAAAGAAGGGAAATAGTAGCCGTGTACAGAGGAAAGCCAGGCTCCAAACATGGGGAGTGAATTTACCAAGAAATTTTGATTGGGCTCTTTTATTAAAAAAAATTTTTTTTTTTTTAAGATTTTATTTAGTCATTGACAGCGAAAGAGACAGCGAGAAAGGGAATACAAGCAGAGAAAGCAGGAGAGGGAGAAGCAGGCTTCCTGCTGAGCAGGGAGCCTGATGCAGAGCGTTAATCCCAGGACCCTGGGATCATGACCTGAGCTGAAGGCAGACGCTTAATGACTGAGCCACCCCAAACTGGACTCTTTTCTACCCCCACCCCCAACATTGCCCAGACTCAGATCATTGTTTTCCCTTTCAGCCCTACCCCAATACCGGAAAGCAGATTCACAGCAGAACACTATTTGGATGTAGAGTAAAACAAGCGAAGTAAATGTTGACTTAACCAATAAGCATCAAAGTGTTTTCTCCTACCTCCCCCAACCCACAGACCTTCTTTTCATCTGAAGGACTAGACAATACATTCTTAGAAAACAAAAGGCTTAGAGTAAGATACAGACAGGTTCGCTAAAGGGCAAAGCCTCCTGATGAAAATGAGGATTTGAACCCTGCTCACCAGGGGTGGCACAACTAAGGTGGCACATTCTTCCCTCCCACTTCATTCATTACCTACCAAGATGACTGATAATTGATACCCAAGAGAGAAAATGATCTCACAGGGAAAAATAACTAGAAAATTAGAAAGGCGATAAGCTAAATAACCTACTCTAGATGACAAGAATTAATAGAATACATGCCAACTAAATGTCCCATACTGATAATGAAGCCAAAACAATTATAAAGAAACAAGTAGGATTACTGAATATTCAAAACACAGTTGAAATAAACTCATTTGAAGACATAAACAGCAAAATAGACATAGCCCAAAATGTTTCTAGAAGACATCAAGAAGGAATTAGAGATGAAAAATATAAAAATTAAGAACTATGGAGGCTAGACATAGAAATATCAGCATTTATATATTAGGAGTGCTAACAGGAGAGAAAAAAGTAAATGGAGGGAAGATGATACATGAAAACAAGCAAGGACTTCCAAAGAAAGATTGATACTGAAAGGTTATACAGGGTGATAAATAGGGTTGATATGGGAAAATGAATACTTCTGATATTTTAATGAAATTTAAGAACTCCAAAGACAAAGAGAAAATTCTAAAACCTTTCTAAGAAGAGCAGTTCACCAATAAATAAAATGAATCAGAATGGTGCCAGACTTCTCAAGAGGAACATTAGGAGCAGGAAAGCAATGAAGAAATATTTCCAAATATCAAAACCAGAAACTTTTTTTTTTAAGATTTTATTTATTTGACAGACAGAGATCACAAGTAGGCAGAGAGGCAGGCAGAGAGAGAGAGAGGGGGAAGCAGGCTCTCCGCTGAGCAGAGAGCCCGATGCGGGGCTTGATCCCAGGACCCTGAGATCATGACCTGAGCTGAAGGCGGACGCTTAACCCACTGAGCCACCCAGGTGCCCCCAAAACCAGAAACTTTTAAAAAATATTTTATTTATGTATTTGTGTGAAAGAGAGAGAGAGACTGAGAGCACAAGCTGGGGGAGTGGCAGGCAGAGGGGAGAAGCATGCTACCTGCTGAGCAAGGAGTCCAATTCGGGATTTGATCCCAGGACTCTTGCATCATGACCTGAGCCAAAAGCAGACACTTAACCAACTGAGCCACCTAGGTACCCCTAAAAACAGAAACTCTGACTCCAAAATTTAATATTCAGCTAAGCTATCAATTAAATGTGAGGGTACAAGAAATACATTCTCAGACCTTTAAGGTCTCAGCAGATGATCATAAAGACCCTATGAAAATATTCCTGGAGGAAATAAGATATCAAACAAAAATTTTAGGAAATGCTATAAAATACAAGATAGTAAGAATGAGAAAATAACTTTCTGAAGTTTATTGTCTAAAAAAGCATTGTATGGGGTGTCTGGGTGGCTCAGACAGTTGAACGTTGGACTCTTGTTTTCAGCTCAGTTGTGATCTTGGGGTTATGGGATTGAGCCCCGCATTGGGCTCCATGCTCAGCAGGGAGTCTGCTTGAGATTCTCTCTCCCCCCCTTTCTCTCTGCCCCTCCCCTGACTTGTGTTCTTTCTCTCTCTGGAATGAATGAATAAATCTTTTTTTTTTTTTTTTTAAAGATTTTATTTATTTATGAGAGAGAGAGAGAGAGAGAGCGAGCACAGGCAGACAGAATGGCAGGCAGAGGCAGAGGGAGAAGCAGGCTCCCTGCAGAGCAAGGAGCCCGATGTGGGACTCGATCCCAGGACGCTGGGATCATGACCTGAGCCGAAGGCAGCTGCTTAACCAACTGAGCCACCCAGGCGTCCCTGAATGAATAAATCTTAAAAAAAAAAAAAAAAATCGTGAGGCTCGTGGGTGGCTCAGTCAGTTAGGCTGCTGACTCTTGATTTTGGCTCAGGTCATGATCTCAGGGTCCTGGGATTGAGCCCCACATCAGGCTCTATCCTTAGTGGGGAGTTGGTTTGGGGCTTGCCCACTCCCTCATTCTCTGCCCATCTTCCTGCTGGTTCTCCCTCTCTCTCTCTCTCTCATAAATAAATAATCTTTTTTTGTTTAAAGGCATTTTAGGGGCACTTGGGTGACTGAGCAGGCCCCACATCAAGCTCCCTGCTCATTGGGAAGTCTTCCTCTCCCTCTGTCCCTCCTCTCCCCTGCCCATGTGTTTGCTCTCTCTCACTCACTCTCTCTTTCAAATAAATAAAATCTTAAAAAAATAAGGCATCTTATACACATACCTACACACCCCAGATATAACAAATTAGGGCACAGAATGCAATATCCAGAGATAGGGAAGAGTGCATGTGTTAAAGTATTTATTCTACTAAGGGGGAAGATACAGATAGGTATTGATAAATTTCATAAATTAGGGGAAAAAATACAAGTAAATCCCTTAGCAGGTTAGGGATAACCAATAAAGAACAAATATAACATGCACGCCTTTCAAACCCATAGATAAAATTGATTTATCCAAGGAAAGGAGCAAGAAACAAAAGAAAAAAAAAAGAGAGAAAACTTAAATACTTCTAACATAGAAGTAATTTAATATATTAGTTAAACTCACCAAAGAAAAGATAAAATTCTTAGATTGAATTAAAAAAACAAAATCTAGCAGTATAATGTCTACATGAGACACATTTAAAAGAAACAGACAAATTAAAACAAAAAGATGGAAAAAAGCAGCTATGAACCAAAAGAAAGCCAAGCAGATTTCTATTATCAGTCCAAAAATAGAATTCAAGGCAAAAAGCATCATTAAGGGCAAAGGAAAACTATAGATAAAGAACATGTAATATACAGAAAATATAATACATCTATATTAACACAGATGTTTATTACAATTTAACTTCAAAATATTCAAAATAGGACCTGATCCCTGGCTCTCCCTATACCCCTCTAAAATAATGTCTACTTGTTTTTAGAGCTTGGGGAGGGGCCGAGGGAGGAGGAGAAGAAGGAGAATCTTAAACAGACTCCATACCCATCACGGAGCCCAAAGCAGGGCTTGATCTCACAACCCTGAGATCATGACCTGACTGGAAATCAAGACTCAGATGCTAAACCGACTGAACCACCCAGGTTGATGTCCCTAAAATGATGTCTATTTTAACTCCTATACCACCCGCCCCCCACCATCAGTTGGCCTGGAAATGAGGTGCGGGTCTTCCTCACTCCTCAATGCTACTTCTAAATCATTTTTCTCTCCTCTCTAATAATACTCAACCTTAAGTCTCCTGTCATTACACTATCTATCATCCACTGCCTTCTCTGTTGCAGTCCTTTACTTCCTCCTCGCTCACTGCCACTCTATCCAGTACTTCTGTCATAAACCCTAGCAATTTTAATGTTCATTTAGTTCTTTCCAACACCTGGCCTTGTAATGTTTTGACCTGTTTTCCCTCGGTGACTTCATCCTCTAGCCATTTAATCATACCCTTGACCTTTTCATTGCAAAAACAAAACAAAACAAAACAAAAAAACCCCTGCAACCGTTCCATAATACGGTTTCAAATGACTCATTCTCCAAACATCATCTCTCTACAGCTCACCCCAGCTAGTACCCTAACTCTACCAATCCTTTGATCTCCACAGAGATCTTTTATTTCATTGATTCTACCACCTTCATAGCATCCCTTACCCTTTCATGTCCTCAATTCCTTTGTAATCTACTATAAATTCCATGATAGGTAATTATAATCCGTTCCTTGCATATGCTCTTAACTCAGACTCACTTGCTCCTTACTCCTTGGTATCCTGTACCCTGGAAGCTGAATGTATCTTCAGAAAAACATTCAAACTTGCTGACTAGTATTACATTAAATAATCATTGAGCTCA